AGGCTGGAGGAAAGGGGCGCTGCCTAGAGCCAGTTGCGCGCACGCGATGAGAGAGAGGCTGAAGGCGATCGGGCAGAGTGACGGGCTTGCACACGAGAGCGACAGAGAACGAGGACGGCCAGACGCGCACGATAGCCAGGGCGGACAGCGGGGATGCGAGATGCCACTGCGCTGACGTCTAGACAAGCGCCGACGATCCCTGGCGAGTGGCATTGACGAGAGCGCTGTCATTGGCCGCGGCGAGACAGGAGCGAGCTTGAGGCGAGGGCAGCGCATTCGATCGCGAGCGGGCGCAGGGCGTTCGAACGTGCGGGCGCCTTTCCATTGCATGGCGAGCTCCTGATCGAGAATCGAGATCCCCTCTTACGGCGACGTGCGTCAACTCCCCGGGCCATGTAGAGCTGCCGTTCCTTGCTTCTATGCCGTCCCACGCCCTCTCTGCAAAGGCTTTGCCAGCGGATGCCTTTGCATAACGTCACTTTGAACGATGGCAACAAGGCGCGTTCAAACCCGTCAGCCACCCACGGATTGACCTTCACGACCATGTATTAGATGCCGCAGATCGCGTTTGGTACCGGCTCAAAGTGGAAGGGACAGGTAGAGCGTCCAAACTTCATGGCTCTGCAGCCCCTGACCCATCTGCTTAGGATGTCACGGACTATGTAACGAACGCCATAGAGACTGGCTTCTCTCACATAGACACTGCACAGTGTGAGTGCTCCCCAGTCGGGCTGCAGCGTAATGGGCTTTGCTTACAAAGCACAGTCTATGCCAACGAGGAGAGTGTCGCGGCCGCTATCCGTGAGACTGGACTTGACCGCTCCGACGTGTTCATCACGACAAAGTGGTCGAGCCAGGCAGGTGTGCGGGAGTCGCTCGAGAGGAGCTTGGCCAAGGCGAGTTGGAATACCCAGACTCAGCGTACCTATCTCATCAAGGCAACAGCTTGAGCTCACACAAGTCGACCTGTATCTGATTCATAACCCCGCCCTCGTGAAGGACTATGAGTCTGACTGGCGCGACTTTGAAGCAGTCAGGGAGGCCGGGTTGACCAAGTACGCTCCTTGCGCATCTAACAATATTCATACTGAACACATTGTGCGATCCCTGGTAGGAGCATCGGTGTTAGCAATTTCAGTCTAGAGCAAATGCAGAAGCTCTGGAAGATAGCCAAGGTCAAGCCTGCCGCGAACCAGGTTCATCTCTCCGCACGTTGCCCTCGATGGCTGCTAAGCAAACTCGACTGCCAGATCCAGTTCCACCCCTACAACTACGCGGGAAATAAGGATCTGCTCGCGTTCTGCCAACAGCACGGTGTTGTCGTCGAGGCCTACAGTAGTCTTAGGTCAGAAAGTATCGTCAACGCCTGTTATAGATGCTGACCACCACTCGTGCAGTCCCATCACAAGATATCCGGGCGGTCCAGTAGACAAGCCAGTCAATGCCGCGGCGAAGAGACTCGGTGCGACCGCCACCCAGGTCATTCTCTCCTGGGTCAAAGCCAAGGGCGTGGTCATTGTCACGTAAGCCGCGGGCGTCGACGCTTTTTCACAAGTGCTGAGTACGTCCTTCAGCACGAGCTCCAGTCGGGAACACATGCAAGAATACCTCGACGTCGGCGATCTGCGTGAGTTGATCGCAGCGTGTTACGTTGACTCCCCGGAAGCTCACGCCATGCCTGACAGCCGCATTGACCGAGGACGAGATTGCCGCTATCGATGTTGCAGGGGCTCGAGGGCCGCCATCGTCCGCCCACCGCCGCATTAGGGACGCAGCCATCCTCCTTTCCACCACAGCGCTTCTAGGCTGGAGGCTGTACCGGTTCCTTCACTGAGAGGGGGCGTGTATCGTGATCCAAGCCGGGTCGAGGTCTGTAGGCTCGTAGTAGCTTATGCTACACAGTGCAAATGCGCATTTACCCCTGTGATTGTTGTATGCAAACGCGCGAGTCCATTTGTATGCCTGTTCCTGCGCACATGCTGTCATTGGCCACCGTCAGCGCGTCTCCCCGAGAATGTCAGCCTCCCAGTGGCTATCCCTATGTGTTTGGTACTTGTATCTGAATATATAACACTGCGGATTATATGCCCGAGTGAACGACCGCGATGACATGACAAAGCAACAGCGCGCGCGGGGTATATGTACAACGACA